AGGCAGACATGCATCTGCACCTCTGTGCCTGTAAAGGGCCTGTAAACGGGGAAAAGGAATGCCGCTAAATTACGTATCAAACAATCACACTATCGCAGCATCTAGCAATTGCTGTCGAACAGAATTATTTTGAGATAAAACGCCGAACTCTGAGAGTTTTGAAGGCAGACAAATGCGTGAGAATCGCAATTCCAGCTACATAGTCACATAGAGCACACGCATGTGTTATCCAGGCGGGCCAGGAAACAGGCTGGTAGCGATGTCTCAATTCTAGCGCCGCCGACCTCATTTTTGCAACAAATTCGGTGTTCCAGCGGGACCAATCAGCAGCGGCTGCCATTCTGACAAAAGTAGAGTGACATGAATTCTCTTCTTCAGGCTTAGTGCCTGGTAGCGCTCACTGCCTCCAGGGTATTTGCCAAACTGAGAATAGCCTCCATCTGTCAGTCACGACGTCACTGTCACCCAAATCTGCTATATATCAGTTGCCAAGTGACGCCGAGACGTCTCTCAGCTTCGCAATCACCTTGTTAAAACAGATTGAACGAGACCATCACCACTTCAAACTTTCTCAACGCTACCTAAGCCATAAACACATATAAATCTCACCCTCAGCAAAAACTCGTACTACTTATTTCATCCCATTAGAGCACGACAGTCGAAGCGTGCCGATCATTCACAAACCATCTCAATCATGAGTTCAATCTCATCTAAAAGCTCGGACTACGGTGACGCGCCTCCCGGTTACAAGGAAGCAGTCGATTCGGGAAGCTTCGTGTCACCAAGCGACAACGGCATAATCAGCCAACTTGACATCCAAGCCATTGGCTATGACACGAACCAGGCCCTCACGGGCAACGTATTGGAAGATATCCCTGTCTACCGTGTTGGCTCTGGCGAGCTAGAGTACACATCCATCCGGCTGAAGAAGAACTCCAACTCCTGCGCTCTGGTCCGCGGGCCCGACTCCAGCCAGACACCTCTAATATCAACGATTTACCGTTGGGGCCCCGGTCGTCGTCCCAGAATGAGGATTCTGGCCCCGGGAACAACTGCCACAGTGGAAGAGGCAATCAACTCGGACCATCTCGTCTGCGAGGTAGTCGAAGTCAAAAGCCGCAACATGATGTCGCGCACGCAGGAACTCAAGACATCGTTCGGCACCTTTGAGTGGCGCTACGGCGGGCGCGACGAGCGCAAGGAAGCATCACAGGCGTCCTCGCTCCTGGTTTTGGAACGCACCGACGACGCCGCCTCGACCTTGGCTGGTGATAATGGCAAGGTAGGCAAGCGCGGGGTTCCAGTCGCTCAGCTTGTGCGCAACAAGGAGCTTCGTACCCAAGGTACGAGTCGCTGGATGGGCGGCAACGGCGGGCGCTTGATCATGAACCTTGGAATGTGGGCGGATGACAAGAAAACGACCACCAAGGACGCCGAAGCTTTCATCGTCGCCAGCTGTATCCTCATGCTGAAACGAGAGGCTGACCGGTTCAAAGACAATACGATTGCCGCTGTAGTCTAAGCTAGATAAGATCGGGTGTGTGTAGACGATGAGACTATCTTCGAGGAGGCTTGTGAGCAGCGAATCGTGTTTTCTTTTCTTTTCTTTCTTTTTTTTTTATTTTTAAAAAATAAGGCGTCAGGTGTGGAAGGAAGTACTCTACGCAGAGACTGCATTGATATTTTGTTAGTATCTGGCCTTTTTATGACACTTAGAAACATTAGACGGTTTAAATCCAACTTAAATCGAACATAGAATAAAGATGCTTTTGTTTGCAAATACAAATCTCATAATTGCAGGTCTTCATACGATGGACGTCGATGCACGTTACTCGTATCGGCTGCTTGTAGTAATTGATTGAATCGCAGAAGAACATGATTCTTCGATCAAGGTTACTTCATGGAACTTTTGACCATAAACGAATTGAGAACCATGCTTAGACCGTTTTCTGAAGTGTTTGTTCACGGCGTTACCGTGTTATTAGACACAGATCAGGTAAGTCACTATTGACTCCCAAGTCCAATGTAGCCCATCGAGTGCTGGATAACGTCAAGACGTTCCTTTCCACTTTTCTCCAACGCAGATACTATTTAGCACCTTTCATTGGGTACAGCACCTAGAAATACCCAAGCCTCAACATAGAGCAACTTGGATTAATGCGTGATTTGTGCTATCCCTCATGATCAGTGCGTGTTTACAAGTTTGACGTTATCCAGCACTCGATAGGGAATTTATTTTGCTCGTAGGTACCTCAGTCGATGGAACACATTACTCAAGGTATAAGTACCATCCCCATGCCACAGCATTGCCAGCACTTTATTGTTTCCAGATGGACAAATTTGCTATAGATCGGTGTCCGCAACACTAGGTCAGCCAACTTCCAATCTCAGATGTGAGTCTCGAAGTCAGAATTGAAGCTTCAGATGGTATTCCACAAGACTAAACCAAGACAGCGAGCAATCATTTCCAATGCCTGTAAATATGCCTACTGCATCAATGTTCTTTTTAACTGGAATCGGCATCAGGTTTTCACCGGCCAGTACACCTCCCTGGGTATAGAGCATCCCGTCAATTTGCAGTCGCTGGTAATAGAGTTCGTGTAATCTATCGTCTATCTCGTTAAGAAGTTGACGGACAACCTCTGGAAGAGTGTGGTGGCATCTTTTGGCGAAACTTCCACTGCGAAACATAACTCTTGGACCGTGTCGTATGACCTTCTCATTGTTTGCTACCCTATCAAAGGCTCGAAGAACCTCAAATGCGAAGCCAAAGGCCTTACTTACCCGGTACACCTCCTTCAGCTTAATCTTCTCAAGAGCTGCGCTGACGTATACAACAGGACGATTTCATGTCTAGCTTGCGTTCTACCTCAAAACCTCTGTTGAGGGCACTAGAGCACTACAGATGGGAAGGGGCTCATCGTTCCTGAAACAAAGCGAACCCGAAGCAGAAATTGTTCGATGTCTTGCTTGAAAACACGAAGGCGTTGCGACCTGTCCTCGCGATATCATTCGAGCACCAAACGGGATTCGTTGCAGGCTTCCAGTAAGTTTCTCTGCTTTCACTTTGAGGTACCGGCAACTGGAATTCCCTGACTTTACTGAGTCGTATAGGTCTGCTGAAAAATTTGCGTCGACTTTGTCTGCGGTTTTCCAAATGACGCCCTTTCTGCAACAGGATGACCTGTTTTCTGGGCAGCAAAGAGCAACACAACCCAGTTACGCAGCGACCTTGGACCTCGCGGTCGCTCATGAGCAAGCTTGGCTACATGACGATGATACTGTTGGCGCTGTGCGCCTGATGCCATGTGTCATGACGGAATCAGAACGTTTTGGAGTGGAATCAGCTTCCACAGGGTGACATGGGGTCGAAACGGTACAAAGAGAACGGCAACTCAAAGTCTCAAACAAGATAGGAAGCTACTAAAGAAGATGCGCTTGGATAACTTGGATGTCAAGGATATGCATCGGTACAAGTCGACATTGATGGATCTGGGTGCGTGGCAGAGCTGAATATCTCATGGATCCGACGAACATACTGTGGGAGTACATGAAGCCGATCTCAGAAGTTCTGAAGCCCCAGTCAGCCCGCAAGTCCAGGACTGCATTAGATAAGAGGAACTTCATGAAATGATGCGAGATGATCTGAGCGAGATAGAGTCCTAGATTGAAGGCTAGCTTGTGTTGAAAGAGACTTCATTGCATACTCCGTCTTAATGGTTGATGTCGCCACATATTCCCCTGAATTACCATGAGCAGCTCCTGAAGAGGGTTTTGTGGATTGGTGGGGAAAGAGTTTGCAGGCTTTAGAAGATTAGCATGAGACCAAAGCACGAAGATAGCATATATGAAGACGAGCCCAGTCCCTCATGTAAGGAGCAGGGCAGTGCACGGATAGTCTAAAAAGTGATGACAACAACGTTTTCTTGAAGACTGGAACCAGTGAGGAGGATGATTGCCAAGTTTTCCAAAGAAGGAGCTCCAGGTCACTCAAGTTATGGTTCCAGTGGAAGGGTCAAGGGAAGCCAAGTGCGGATTCGAGCATAGCTGCGTCTAATTTGGAAGAGACTTGGCGTGAGAAGAGCAAGGGAGGTGTCGTATTCTCTGGGAATGACGGAATCTCACTGAAGTTCACAAGCATGGTGGAATCCTTATAGTCTGGTGGCTGTGTGTTGTCTGCTTAGAAGGATTGCCTCAGGTCACACAAGTTGAAACGTTCGAGAAACCTTATGATGTCAAGACCCTTCCAAAACACTCTCTCCTATCTGTCCATGGCAGTAACACAGAAAGTGCAGACCTAGCTTCCCGTAGACCTTGAAAGTCGGCGGTGTTGATCTTGTTTTTCCTGGTACCGTCGAAGTTGAAGGAGATGGCTTGGGAGGAGGTAATGATGCCCGACAAGGAAGTAGCCTTTGACTGGAGTAAGGTACATACAGAAGTAGTCGTCAAGACATCTTCCCTTTCAAAGATGCACAACAGAAGACTTCAAGAAACTGTTTCTAACTGTTTCCAAACCACAGGCAGCAGCCTTCTTAGGTTGGTTCGTTTTACTGTCAGACTATTTAACCTGCCCAATAGCCTGAAATTTGTCAAGCGAGACGTATTCGAACCTTATGCTACTACTACTACCAGTCAGTCTTCCAAATCCTGACGCATCACCATGGCTCCACTAAGCATTTCCGGTGAATCTTCGCGCAAAAGATCGGCTTCACCGCTGCCTAGCGATGAGAATAGCCGCTACAACTTACGCAGCAAGGCAAAGGTAGTCAAATTTGTTTTCGTTGTCGAACTTGAACTTATAAACGTCGTATGACTTGACTGACTTGTTCCCATTTACTTCTCAATTGATTTATCCCCGGCCACCGAATCAAAAGCTAACTTCCTCAAGAAAGCGAAAGTTGCCCAGAAGCTAGGTTTCTTGTAAATCTCCTCGTTGAAGGTGTAGAGTGGGCTGATGCTGACAGCAAAGTCATAGATCACTGCCAGCTGAGTTACGCAACATGGTCTATGATCTCACTCTTGTACAAAGACGAATCACCATCTACTGGGATCATCGCAACATGCGATTTCGACACAACCGTGACCAGCGTATCTCTGGTTCTCTCCTTCGCACCTGCAAGACAGTTCATGCCGATGCCAGAGCCCTGATGTACTCGACCACATTCGAGTTCGAGAACATGGATTACCTCGAAAAATGGCTGAATAAAGTCGGCCCGGGAGTTGTCAATATACGAAACATTAGACTGACACGCTCATTCCAGGCGTCCTTTGCTCAAAGTTACGGTGTTAATCTTCCGATGTGGAACCAGCGAGATTACAGAGCTACCACACGACGGGTTGCCAAGCTCCTCAGTGCCTGCCAACATCTCGAAAGTCTGGACTTGGGCTTCTTGTACACCACGGTGTACCAGACGGCGACCCTGATCGAGAACAAAGATAAACCTGCGTACTGGCAAAAGGAGGCACGACTTCTTGCCGAGATGGTGTTTAGCGATTTGTCCGTCCTGCTAAGAGCGGCCAAGGCTTCCGGCAAGACGCTGGATCAAGTGGCGAGCTTGCCTAAAATTCACCACAAGAACTTTGAATGTATTAGACACCATCCCTCCAATGTGGCGAATGGTCAGCCAAGTCGAGAGACAGCTTGTCACATGAAGTTATTGATTGCGAAGTACATCGGAAACTGATCACACCCCCGGAAGCCACCCCCGGAAGCCAAATAGCATAACCTCCTCGGCGTAGTTCATCTATAGCACAGCAACCGGATACTGAATGAGCACCAACGGCTCGAGATGTGTTTAGTCTATTGGAAGACGAGTGGCGTTCTAATAATTGGCTTGTCCTCGGTGATGGTCGGAGTTATACTCGACAAACGAGCAGATAATGGCGTCACAGGCGAGATTGATTGTGGTGAAGTTTGATAGCAAAAAACATGGCATATGCTTGGGCAGCAGATGAAAGACTGATAGCGGATAAGGATGATAGTTCAAGGTCAAAAGTAGCACAAGGTAGCTATTAATCCTTGTTACCTGCATTAGTTGTGAATAGAAAGAACTGCAATCCATAATCTGAACGTGGCTTTGCTCGTCAGCATTGCTGAGAATCTGGCTTGTCATGTTGACCCCGCTCGCGCGTTCTTAGGACAGCAGATGATCCCGCCATGCGTAGTAGTGATCAGTGATGTTTCTAGGTTTCTGAGAAGGGGGGGGGAGGGGGGATCAGACGGAAAAGAGAGAGTTCGGGCAAAGAAAGATTATGATGTCTCTCATTGAAGGAGAGGACGACTTTTGACATCATGGTGAGCAGCGTTGGCTTTGGGAGAGGTAAGAGTGAGATTGGACTTGTTGCGCTAAAGACGGCCCATATTCGAAATATTGGGCCTAAGAGACAAAAGATGGTCTTTTGATTTCTTTTCCTGAAGTTACTAAGATATTTCAATTCACTAGGTTCGTTTATTAAAAAACTTCTCTTCAACGGATTGTTCTTAGGACTTCAGAGGGGTTTAGGTAAAAAGAGGTAGGCATCCTTTGGCGCAAGCTTGGCCATGCCTTCCACCTGGAAACATACAATCACTCATCAATTTACTCCAAGTCGGATGTTGCGCATGTATTAATGTAGGGGACCCATCGAGCCACAGATAATTAAATAGAGCATGGGAGGGCCTATTATCACGGACCGAGTGTGCCATCATGATCAGACTCGGCACTCCGACGTGACGCTTGAAATCAAACAAATCCGCATGTATCATGGTCTGTTGAAACAATTCCGTGGCGAAAGGCGTAGCCGTCTGGCGCATTGGCCAGTAATTTTGGCAGGAATTAAGGAATGGTCTCAATAGTATGTAATGACTAGCCAGAGGATTAGGATCTAGTGTCTAAAATTGGCATGGTGATAACAAGGAAGAACTTGGTTCGACGTCAAACAAAACATCATACCTCAACACTGGCCACCGATCCTAGCCTAAGCCTCCGGGCAATCTGTAACTGTTTGCGATTTACAGCATACCCAATTCACGTCTCGCGCAAAGAGTCAGAACGTGTTACTTGAATGCTTATACGAATTTATAGGGTATCAAAATGGAGCTTCTGCTTCTAAATTACAAAGATTTGTGTGGCCAAATGATCTCACTTTGTGAGAGTTGTCGGTGCCTCTGAAAGATGCCTGGTATCTCGTGATATCTGGCAGGTCGACTTCGGCTCGCTAGCGGGACACTGAGGTATAGGGCATAGGCCGCAGTATCGCCTTGCTTGTGTCGATATCGATTATGCCAGCTCTTCGTTTTTCATGCCTGTGTGGCAAGTGTCGCTGGTGTCCTGCACCGTGGTTTGATGTGGGTATTAGTTAAGGAGCGTTGGACTTGATATTTCCGCTGTCTATTTTTCGGCGTCCGCGGTCTTTCGTGATATTTGTGGCGGGTGCGTTGGCACTACAACATAGAGTTACGTACATTAGCTTTCGCTGTTCACTAGCTGGTCCCTCACATAGCAACTTAGACTTACTTTTCGAGTAGCGTTCAGTTGTTCACCGGTGGTTGATCCAGTAAATGAACCCTCCCACACCAAATATACATGTACCAGCTGTGCACAAAAGTCAGTTAAAGTTTTAATTCCATCCCATGCAGCGCTGGTGTAAGTCTACTTACCCACTGCCAGTGTCTCTAGTACAGTGTGGTCGACGCTCCTTTTCATAATCTCGTGTCCAACTTCCATCATCCCCTCCTGGATGAGTCGCGTATCGAGAACAGGCATGTTGATTAAGTGGGTAGATAAAGAACCACGATTGCGATGGACCAACGAAAGAAGGTAGATGCGTGCAACTAATTAGAAAAGACGGACATGCGCAACGATCGCCGGGATCAAGAAACTGAACGAGTCTTTCTTTTGCGGACGAACTAAAACAAAGTTGTGGTGCTGGGTGCCCATATATCATCAAAATCTAGGTCTCTCCGATCGCGTCGGTCCCGCATCACAACCATGCCGGTGCGACGGGGGAGGGCCGGGGTTCGTGGGATAATCACCAGATAATGCCAAGAGATTCGAAGCGCCAACCTGGGTCTGTATGGTCATTCCCACACACGCGGGCTTGGGAATGGGCTCATGTCATCTCATTTCGGTTTCAAAAGGGGGTGCAGCAAATGCGAGAGGATTGCGTTATCACGGTCAGAGGAGATGGTCCCATTGACTAAAAGGTAGTTTCGGGGCCGCCCTTGAACTGGGCTGGTACCGGGCCTAGGGGTCGCATTCTCGTCGACGAACCCCACCAACTCATCTGTCACCTGGGGTTTGTGGATTTTTCCAACCTTGATTTACGGATCTGCGAACCATTGCCGATGATAACTGGACATTTGATTTAACTATTCTACATCAACGCGCTATCACCTGCACGTCCAAGAACCAGAGCCCGTTCAGCCAACGACTCTCTTCTCATTCACCTTCCACCACAGCATCTCCGTTCCCTATTCGGGTTTTGCCAACAGCACAGCCTCACACCATTGTCCTGCGACTTTATCGTGATGTGAAGCCCAAGTGAGTCCATTCTGAGGCGAGAACACTGTGGCCCCCCACCGTTTCAGCCTCCTGAAACAAGGAGGATCTACGGAGAGTTGCGTGAACCCCTGCCCAACTGAATGCCGCGTCGGCTCATCTACCCTCTCCGTCCGCCGGCCGGAGCATTTCATTACATTAGACGGCGAGGAGTTCTTCGTCGTCCAATGTCAGGGACCAATCCAGCGATCACGTTCCTCGGTTGTAATCTTGCAGGCAAGTGGAAACGAGCGCTGCTTCAGCCGCATCATATTACTAGACAGTAGACACCACTTGCTCAACTTCGTCGTATTGAAATTTCCGAGTCCGACAGACTCGAATGCCCAAACGCCCAATTGCCCATAACTGGCTCATTGCAATAAAGTTTTTACCTTTTGTAACGCTGGTAGCCAAGCTACAAACCTCACTTGGCAGCCGTGGCTCCCCTGATGTGACAAGCCGCGACGTCTTGGCCAAGCTCTTGGCCTCGTGTCTTCCAGCGCTGCCACGTCGGCACTTACGTGATTTGAGACGACCCAAGAACCATCGGCCGCAGAAATATTCATTGGCGTCTTCTCCAGTCAGAAGTTACCATGGTTTTTCGAAGCATCAGTTCGGCTTTCGAAGATTATCGATCAGGCTCTCGGTAATGGTCTTGTCAAGCACCGATTTCCATAAAGTCTCGCACTCAGCCACTCAACCCTGCCCCCCTCCCCCCTTCTTCAGATCCAAACTAATGCAGGGCTCGGATACTAGCGTCATTTTGACGCGAAGGTATATGAGAAGAATACTACCTTTTGACTGGTTCAGTGGCCGGGTGATGCAAAGAATACTTCCCCATTTCTCATCAACGTGCTTCATCCTTTAAAGGCCCGCATAGCAAGATACGTCTGTCGAATTCCAACTACTAATCTTGCCATGTATCGTCGAAACTCCGATTACGCCTAGCCTCCATCGATGTCTTCTGGAACCGGTTTGCTATCTGATACTTCAAAGCACGTCTCCCGGCTCAATTCCATAACAGCAGAGTTCGTCAAGCTAATTGTTTTAATCGAAACCATGCTGAGGCTTCAAGTTTGTGGCAAGAATACACCAGGAAGAAGCAAGCTATCGTTGTTCAATTCTCTTCTCGTAGGCTTATCACCATGAGGTTTCAAGGCTAAGGTTTGAGATGGATTCTTCGGCAACTTATCATCTAGTACCCACAGAGTAAACACCAATGCCTAGATTGCCGCAAAAGCGACGCAATTCAGCCTTATACGCACTTAAATCACCCAGCAGACTGCAAAACTTAAGCCCTCATTCGATTGCGAAACCAGTTTTCCCTAGATGGGTATAGTAGCTTCATCTCGAGGTTGTTAAGAAGCCGGTCCAATACGTAGGCTCATGTCGAGAGTCACACCGCTGATCAATGCAGGCTCCAACGCTTCAAAACGGCTGCTTTCATGATTTTGCTTGGATCTAAGTTCGGGTCATATTTGCGGGAAGCTTTGCAGACGCCATAGGGAACTAGAACTCGTCTCAACTCAGCCAGGTGTGTAAAGTTCGGTGTGGGTATGGTGTTGAAGTGGCATTGTTACTTTAAGGTCTGATCATATCCGGAGTCAATTACTTTTACATGTATTGACCAACGTACCTTCCATCGACATGAATACATACAAATCATAAGCATTAAGCCAGGCTTTTGCTGTTGCAAGGTTCGATCCAAGCGCACCCGCGGCAGATTGCAATCCGTGGCTATTTCACGTCCTATCCAAGGGGCTTTTCTCACAAAACCTTTCCACAGAAGAACAGTCTCTCGTCTGCGGGTATACTGGAGGAGCGGTGAACACCTACATAGAAGATTCTTTAGCATTGCGAGTTACCTTTCTTGCTGGCTAGTTGAGCCTCGATCTTCCGAAGAATCTTGAACGCCACCAGAATGATACTACATCCCTTGACGAGCCATCTCTAGCCAATAATCTCAATCTTGATCAATCGCAGTATGCAGATCACAGTATTCAGGCCTGTTGACTCTGGTTCCTCGTGCACTATAATCTATCTAGGGGATAGATGCCTGATGGACTTACCACGAATAACTGAGATAGTAACTCCGGAGCCTCCTGTGCGTTAATCAAGGGCAATGCCGCTAGCGCGGCCTGAATCACTTGTTTATCAGCCCATGTCTTTGATTTATATCCAGTCACGATGTTCATCGAATGTCTCGGGCTCCTAGTTCGTGAGGCAGGCGCCAAGGACTTCTCTATACGTTTCCACATGTCCATGTCAAACCAGGCCTTTGTTGACGGTTGACAAGTTTCTTCACTTAGTTGAGATGTTTCAGAGTCAAATTCCATAGGCTGACAACCGGATGACCTGCACGAAATGCAGGCTCTAGGTGAAATGACTGGAGTTTGTGCGTGAGATCTTGTGATCTCCAAGTTGAGACAATCACATAATACTAGCAGGCCAGAACATCAGTTTTAGCGAAAGTTACCTACCTCTTATACTCTATTAGCCTGTACGAACCGTGGGAGAAAGTCATATTACACATGAGGTTTGTCATAGGATCAAGTAAGAGAAGCATGGATATAACTTGCCAACACTACTGCGGATTCGATATTAAGCCGGGTGAGCCGGAAACAGATTTTGGACGATTCGAACTATAGTACAGCAGAGATTGCCGGCGGCTCAAGCGAGAAATATTGAGTATTCAAAGCATCGAATATATCACCGAGTGGGATATGTCAAGCCTGAGTGACGTAACACCTACCCACGGGGAGGTAAGCCAACCAGAAAAACACTATCCGTGACGTAGAGAGAAGCTGATGGTGGGGTTGTACATGTCTTGGTTCAGGTCAGGGAAAGCTCTTGAGGAGTTCCACGTTGTTCTGTCTGTACTCATCATTGAAGCCTCATCGCAAGCCCTTGCTCAAGAGACCAGTACTAAATGCTCCCGCCGTCTTCCCTCGGAGTAAAAACCCGACAAGACGCATAGCTGAACTTGGAAGACTTTGAGACTCTGCACGGTAATTGAACAGACTGGATACAGATTGTGAATAGAACGAAGAATGAAAAGTACGGGACTGTATGTCAACCTGAGAGTTGATTGGCGCTAGAAAACACAGTCGTGCAAAAACAAGTTGAACTTATAGAATACGCCGGGTTGAATATATTGAAGACATCTATGGAATAAAAGTTTTGAATATAGATAGACTTTGCTCATTTTACTCGAGATTGCCATCCGGCTTTTCCTATGTACTGTGCTCCTTGATGTATCCTCTAACGACCTCCCGCAAGTCACTTTGCGGAAGTTCCAGAACCTTGTTTGACTTGTCTTCCTCCTTGATAGTGTGACCAGGTACGTCGCCAAACCAGTACTTTTGCAAAAACTCCTCAAAGGGGAAGCGTCCCCCAGCCTTGAGCTTCTCCTTACCCTCCTTCTCTGCCTCATCGGCGGTCTTATGCTCGACTGTGAACTTTGACCCCGTCTCCTCTTCAAACAGCTTGTGGAGCTGGTTCTGTGTGACTTCGAATTCGACAATGTTGATATACTTGTTGGCGGTTTCGGCGGGGTGTTGTAGTACTGCGACAATGCCCTCAGCAAGGAAAGCAAGCGATGTCGTCGAGACCTTTTGGTTTCCAGAGTCGAAGATTGTGATGCTCTTGTTCTCGAGTGAGATACCGTAGATTCCTCGTGTAATGCTCTGTTAGGAAGCGGTTAGTTACACTTTCAGATGTTCAGACAAGTTGAACCGTCGATGGCGAGGACTTACCCAGTCGAAGAAAAGACTCGTTCCAATACCAGTCCAGGTGAAGCTCGGGTTAGCCTCCGCCTTCTTGATCAAATAGTCGACAGCAGCCGTCTTGGACTTGAGCCAGTCGCCAAGGATCTCGCCCTCCAAGGTGCGCGTGTTGAGTCCATACTCGGATGGGATGAAGCGCTTCACGCCAGCAGCAATCGCCGCATCGATGAGCGGGTCTTGTGAGCCGGGAACGATGACGGCCACGGTAGAGATGGCAGAGATAACGGCATCTTGACCGGCGAAGGCGGCCGTGAGGGATTCGACAGACGAGAGGTCTGCTTTGCGGACGGCGACACCAGATGGAAATGTGGCTGTGGAAGCTTCGCGGGAGATAGCCGTTACTTCAAATCCCTTTTGCAGGAGGGCTTTGACGACTCGCAGGCCAACGAGGCCGGATGCCTAAATTCAGTTGTGAGCTTCGGTCTGTTGTCGCAGTGTTGTCAAATCATTACTTACACCAACGACGGCAACTGTCTTGATGGACATTTTGAATTGTATCTGATATTGATCGACGAATAAAGCGTAACAAAACCCGAAAGAGCGAAGAATTCGCATGCAAGGCACCAGATCTAGCTATTTATACGTGAAGATAGAGCCTACAAACAAGGGGAGTTCTGCCCCTCCAACCCCTCCATCCCCGTCATGAATTCTAAGGTTTGCGCCATCTAGCATGCCGGTTCTGGCTCCGCGGAGTGCAACCCTACGCGGGGGCTCTATATTCAAGCTTCTCCGAATACAAAAAATAGTGACAACTTTCGCAGCGATACCCACGCAGCTGCCCTTGCATCATTTCAGATCGACAATATGCCGCTGATGGCCCTGGTAAAGCCTGGTAAGGTGGCATGAGACCCCATATAGTCCTTGTCTATGGGTCGAAGCCCGGGTGTCCTTGCCGGGTAGCAATGGCGAGTCAGGGCACCCGGCTCCCACTTTGTGCAACCTGTTATCTACACTAGACGGCTCCCACTCATCACTTTCCACCTTCCATAAGTTTAGTGAAGAGTAGGGTTTTGAATAACTTGGCACACACTTGCGTAGCCCTCGGTTTCTCCATGCGGTTCCTTCGCCATCGGGAATGGCCGTCTGCGGTACCTGGCGGCGGCACCGTGACAGGGAGGAAGTTTCCGACATTCCGTACGCGGACATGCTTGAAGATAAACTGCCGCAACTGCAAGCCGGACATGGGTCACGGCTGCGGCTCGGAAAGAGATTTAGCTCCGTGCAGTCCATTGCTACTGTGACGTATTAGCTGGCGGTCATACGGCTGGCCTATCTCGCGAGGTTTTTCGTCTCTTCAACCTGACAGCTTCGAGAACAGGGCTCGACTGGGTTTGAGCCACCTTCATCAAAAAGTGGCAATGCTGTCGTCTAAGAAAAATCCCATGCAGACCGAATCGCATTACTTATAGATCAGATATGGGAAATGAGTGCTGATATCTAAATGCAATTTTTTGCGTGTAACTAATAATATGTACAACATAGCCAAGAAGGCATCTCAAACCGCCTTATTCAGCTTCCAGCCACCAGCAAACCCGCGCGCGATGCAAATCGTGACACCACTAGCCGCAAGGCAGCATCCCGACCAGATCCAACCGCTCAAATACCCATGTGACCTGGACAGCGCGCCAGCAATGGGCGATCCGAACAGCAGTGCCACCGACATGACAGTAAATGCCATACCAAACCTGGTGCCCATGTAACTCTTGTCAGCTGTAAGCTTGACGAATGTAGTCGGCTGCAAGCCAAAGAAGGTTCCGCTGAAGAAGCCGTACACCACAGTGACGGCAATGAGCGAAGCCTGGCTGTTCGTCGCCGCGAAACAGAAGGCGGCAATTGACATAACGAATACGGCGCTAGCAATCATGTTCATGATGCCAATATAGGGCGCGAAGAAGTTGGGGATGATGCGCCCAACGATGGAGGCGCCGTTGAGCATCGAGAGAAGATAGAGCGCGACGTTCTCGCTAGCCATGTGGTTTTCGAGGGCGTAGCTCTGCACGTAGACGTACGGTGTGTACATGCCCAGGAAGAGCAGACAGCAGGCGCCGAGGAAGAGGAGAAACGGAAGGTCGCGGAAGACGGACTTGTCGACGAGCGGGCGCCGCTTGAGGGGGATCTTGAGCTTCGATGTCTTGATGACGAGGTTGGCTACGCCGAGCGTCACAAGCGCAATGAGCGCGAAGACAAGGACTGTCCGTCGGAAGCCGATCTTGGGCTGGATTGCTCGGAACATTGCTGGGAGGACAAGACTGCGCATGATGTTAGTCGATTCTAGGTTTCAGCCTCTCGCTCGTCGAACCGCCACTTACCCGCCAACACCGCTACCGTTTGCCGCGATGCCATTGGCAAGCGCCAGCCTAGTCGAGAACCATTGCGATGGGAGCGCAACGCCTAGTGTGGACAGACATCCCGTTCCAAGACCGATGATGAGGCCTTGACAGAGGAGGAATTGCCATAGGTTCTGGCAGAACGCTTGGAGAATGAGCCCGACCAGCACCAGGATAGATCCTACCACGAGCAGGTATCGTGAATAGCCCAGGTCGTAGATTGGGCCAATGATAAAACCCAAAAAGACCATAAGAAAGTTCTGTAGAGAACCAATTGTCGAGATCTCAAAGGCAGTATTATTCTTCAGGAGATCGGACTGGTAGTAGGCCTGGAAGGCGCCGAAGCTCGAGATGAGACCTGAAATCGTACCCGGTCAGCGAACCACATTCCAAGAGGAGGTTGTCCCACGTTGGCGTTGCCGCTGCAACAACATCTCACGATGGTTGCATCGCACAAAACGCAAGCCTGAAGATCGATCTTACTTACCCCATGTGTTAAAGTAGATGAAGAAAGACCCAAGGATGTGGAGCCATGCTTGCAAACCGCCGTCAGGAGGTCCAGCAGGGGTCGTTGTTGACTTCTCTGCAGTGGGTGATGCTTGAGACGATGATGTCGGAGGGCTGTCGTTACTGCTTGTGTTGTCTGTTGCGATGACGGAGGTATCTATCGCGGCCTCGCGTGTGCTGGCGTCCTTCTCCTGGTTCCTTGGACTCTCATTCGAGGTTGAAGCCATTATCGACTAAGCAAATCATCTGGACCCAAATCCGTCCTATGTTAGCGGCTCAGGGCGGGATGCCAATGTCTATCCCGGCTTCAAAAGATCTGAAAAACAACGATAGCCGCCTTATCAGTGCGCCAATGCGACAAAAGTAGAGAACGAAAGAAAGTTTAAGTGATGAAAGGGGGTGTGCGAGTTAGCATCAATTGGACAATGCAGGGTCTCAGTCGAGAAACGCGGTTCGGCAGTAGGCAAAATACTCCCGAGCCACGTCTTCTTACGCCCATCTAAGCAAAAGATTGCGTTGTCAAAGGCCCCTTTTTTTCATGGGTTGTGGGGAAACTTTTTGCCTTGGAATTTTTTCTTCTCATTCAATCGACTGACTGATGAGATGAGCCGATGGTCTTCTATTGATTCAACCCACTTCCCTGTTCTCAATGCAACCCTTTATTGTTGATGTGATCGGGTCCCCCGACAGTACCCGCTCCGCACCGCGGCACCTGCAGGAGATCGCATCTACTTTAGATGTGGCCTGGCGCCTCGGCATGGCATCGGAATAGAACCGTCTTTAAATCCGCCTCGGGAAGGAAAAGTCCCAGCAACCAGCTCCCTAAGTGCCGGGCTCTACCGAACTTGCACTCGGTAGTGATTGCAGTATCGCAGGACATGGCACCTATGAGACTCAATTCACTCCTCTTCTCTCTTGTCAAAAAGATGGCCAAAAACAACAAGATCGTGCTGGCGAAAGCGAGACCTCGGCCGGTGCCCGGGAAGGATCATCAGAGGTGCGGAATCCAAACCGGCGACAGCGCCAGTTTAGGCAGGCTAGCCCACTGATCTGCCGCGCGCGTCGGGTCGCCACTGGGGCAGAGTCCAGGGTTATGCTGGCCAGAATGCAACAGGCTTGACAACCTGCCAAAATGGGCTGACAACCCATCCAGAGATCCAGCTGGATAGTTTTGCCCATTTCGGGTCAGAAACTGGGGCCGGATCTGACCATGTTTCGGCCGTTCTCCATCGACCATTGGTCGTGCGTTTTCGGCACTGGCCGTTGACTGCTCGATGTCGTAGTAACCAAATTGGGATGGTATTGAGGCAATGACGTACGGTCACCACTAATCGTCGTGTTGTTTAGGTTCAAAACAACCATGGTCGCCGTAGAAGCTGGGCTGAACGCATAGAATTTTGGAAGTGCTCTGCTCAGCCCTGCATGAGGGTCATTTCCATCGAATTTGGTCTAACAATAGGACCAGTCAACCAAAATATCGGAGGAAAGGTCAATAGGGGAAGAGGGACCAGGATGTCTATTACAAGATCGCGACGACCTAGAGGGTTAAGAAGGGCGAGCACTCCACGCATGCATTTTCAAAACTCCGATACTGTGCACTAACAAAACAACATTGAACTGACAACAATATCTGACGATTAAAATGATTATCTATCATCATATCTGAAGTTGCCACAATGCAATCGCACTGTCAGGCTTGCTGAGAACTCATTTTTGGGGGCGCTACACGTGGGATGCAGGGAGAGTTTTAAAGCTTGAAGAAGACTGACTGAAATGGATTCGGTCTAAAGTCGTTAGCCTCCAATATCCATCGCAATTGAGATGATGGGCGTAAAGCGACCTGTTGTCTTATCTCGTCGAGAAGCTTCTAGAATTCTCAACTTCCTGGTGCTTACGCCCTAAGCTTGATCTGGACCCTTGATCAACTACACTCCCCTTGGCGACAAGGTTACGTGACCCGGAATTCCTCCCGTTGCTGCTAAGAAAGAATGTTCCAGTGAAAAGAAAAGAATTCACAGTCTTTGGTTGGACGCCCTCAAGAGTCCATGCATATCAGTTGCTGGGTTAGCAATCTTCTTCAAGTTGAGATGACAGTGAAAGGGCGTTGCTTAAGCAGGCACCAGCGTCTCACAACTTCTGTAGGCTTCTCCAGCCGCTTGGTTCACTCTAGGTGCGGAGAACATGGATCATTGTGATTATCATTCGACACATGTTTGGGGAAAACATCTGGCAAGTGGAATCAATAGGCCTTGGGACGATTGACGTTTTGACATAAGTAGGCGGGCTTACCATAGAATTCAGAAAGTGAGGGAAAGCTGAAGTACGATCGTTTAGCAAAAACACAGCCTTTCCAGCCTTCATAAGCTCCAGAATTATTCTACAATGTCTTCAACATCAGTCTTATCGAAGACACTTCATTCCATCACTGGTACCAAAATTCGCGAGTTAGAGAAGCAACGAACTCAGTACGAGAGCCGCAAGACTAAAATCCTCCAAGAGGCCGATGAGAACACCGATCAGGGCGATCGTATCAGCTGTTTGCTCCGTGGAGTCAAGGAGCTCTACTCAAAAGGACGCGACGGCGATCCCGGCGTCGACAATATCGATAACTTGCTGGCCCAGTCCAAATATGACACATCCGTGCCTCCCTCGATGTTGCAGTTGTCTGAGGACCTCTTAAGGTCTAAGCTTGACGTACAAAGCCATAAGCTCAGTATGGCTCACCTTTACTCACGACTTGTCACCGAGTGGATCAATCCTGGAAATCCCATGGAGGATTCCGACGCCGCCGAGTTATCTAAGGAAGATTCCTCTTTTGCGGTCATCGACCAGCAAGAAGAGCGTCTTCAGAACCTCCGTGACCAGTTCGAGAAGGTGGTTTTCACACCATTGGAAACCGACGAAGCGGAACTCAACGCCTACCTGGCTAGTCTCTTCAAGACGAGAGAGAGCGAAAGGGCGCTCGAGGATGTGCGGCAACAGATCACGCAAGCGAGTGAGGACTTCCTCAAGAGACGGAACCCGTTTAACACGACCATGCTGAAGATGTGCATTGCCAGCCTCCTCCAGCAGGATCTTTTAAGCGATGAGAAACAGGCGATCTTGCGTGAGTTCGAGTCCAACGATGTCGTTCTACGGGAGATCGCCGACGTCCTCAATACGCGATTCGTCGATTTTGAGAACTGGGAATGGGACGCCGGCGAGGAGGGGGTATCATACGTTCCACGCCAGCAAGCCAACGGCAAGTACCGCATCTGGATGGACGAAGATGTACTTCAGGCCATCTTCATTCACTGGATCGGCATCAACAGCTGTGTTAGCTTGAAGCGGACCCTGACGGGCCTCGTTTCTCTGGACGGAACCGACCAAGTCTGGAGGTGGCACGCCGAGCCACCCATGACTGACAGGCAGATCCAGCGGCGCGCGTATTATCTCAGAGAACATCCCACATTGATCTTTGGTGAACCCTCGCATCCAGCAACGACGAGATGGCCTAGGGGAGGTATCAGAGGGCGCGGAAGAGGTGGGAGGGGAGCCTCCTTCCGAAGTTCCCAACCACGGCCTTCCATTTCAGGTGATACGGTTGCAGGCTTTCGCAGAAAGAACTTCATTGATTACTTTTGCCTCGCAGCCCTGCCAAGCCAAGTCAATACGCTCAACGAGGAGATGTACGACGATGGAAAAATGTTAGAAGACGATGGCGATGACGATGACGATGACGATGCTTCTTCGTCTGAATGGGTAAAAGCCAAGAAACCAGCCCTAAACATCAAGCAGTTTCTTCTGCGCACGCTGGCAACTGAGACAATGCTTCATCAAGCGCTTGATGGCACAGCTGCCGTGGTGCAGTCTGATCTCAAGTGGTTCGGGGCTGGCCTGTCTCACACTTCAATCTTTGCAATTCTCCGCTTCTTTGGGTTCCCGGAGAACATGATAGCGTTCTATCGGAAGGTTCTAGAGACGCCGGTGAATCTGTGTCCGTCTTCCGAGTCAGAGTCGTCATCAAATGAGCCGCGCATCAGGCGCAGGGGTATGCCGATGAGTCGATCGCCAGCGAAACTCATCGGCGAGTTGGTGTTGTTTGTGATGGACTTTGCCGTTAACCAAGAGACGGGGCTACAACTATACCGCCTGCATGACGACCTCTGGGTTGCCGGTAACCCTGCGGATACTGCTAGGGCATGGGCTACCATGCAGCACTTCGCCAAGCTCATGGGTTTGGAGTTTAACATGAAGAAGACTGGCTCGGTGTACTTGACCAACGAAGGAGTTCCTCAAGATGAAGCCCTTGATAAGCAATTGCCCAAGGGTCCTGTCAGTATCGGCCACCTCGTGCTCGATCCTAAGACTGGAAAGTGGACCATCGACCAGGCGAACGTCACAGAGCATGTGAAGCAGCTCCAGAAACAACTTGCCGAGTGTCGCAGCATTCTCGACTGGGTACGCACATGGAACAGCTGCATCGGGCGCTTTTTTGGTCAGGCGTTTGGGGAGCCGGCTTATTGCTTGGGCAAGGAGCACGTCGAGAGCGTCCTACGAACCTACCAGAAGATGCAGCACGATGTTTTTGCGACATATTCTACTGACAATGGCAGCAAGCCGATTGCCGGCGCAGCGAACAGCCAGCTTAGCGCAGTTCACTACATCAAGTCCAAGATTGAGCAGCGTTTTGGTGTCTCGGATGTGTCGGACGCCTTCATCTTCTTTCCGGACCAACTAGGTGGTTTAGGACTCCAGAACCAGTTCATACCATTTCTCAAGGTCCAGAAACACCTATGTGGGACAGGAGTCTCACCAGAGGAAATGGTTGAGAGCTTTTTTGACCGAGAACGAAAGGACTACGAGGATAAGAGGATGACATTCGAGTCGGCCAAGGCCACCGAGACGCGCGAGCTAGGAGACGATATTCTGGGTCGATTCGACGCGCAAAACCTTGGCCCAGAGGACTTGGAGACGTTCTTCTCCTACGAGGAATTCACTGAAAATAGAAGTACCACAAGCACCCACTTGAAAGACCTCTACGAGCGTGTTCAGGGGACACCAAGCGTGCTAGGCCCCAAGGCTGACCGGCAAGTCTATCAGGCGTTGGAGGACTTGCCTATCCAATCGGCCAATTTGCGATCTGGGCTGCGATGGGTGGTCCAGATGTATCATCGGGAAGCAAAAGATCGTTTTGATGGTCTTAGGCTCATTGAGGAGCGATTCTTGCCGCTGGGCGTCATTGACATGATGAGGCAGAAGACCGTTAGATGGGGTTTGGCCCTTTAGCATACCATACACAGAAGTAGGAAATGAAGCATGAATGGTGCAAAATCCTTGTTGAGGTATGCTGTGAAGTGCATCGCGCGCATCATTCTTTCTTGACTGCTGCTCTCACGATTATTTGAAGCAACCTACTATATTTGCCAATGTCTTCGCCCTTGACCTCGCTATCGACTATCAGTTGACTAATGAGTTTGTGCCTTTCGCTTTCGGCTATTGTCAGTAGTGAATATGGGATTATGTGGCCCCAAACAACACTAAGCCCACATACGACAATTGGACGACGAAACCGCATGAGAATGCAGTGATTCAGGGACCTTACTGAACTTGTATATAAGTCACCAGCTATTCTCCAACGAAGAGTTGGACTCCTCATTCTATATAACTACTCAGGTTGAGCAAATCCCACTATATCACTCAAACAAAGTAGGTACAAATACTTTTCCAAACGCAGAAAGACGCAATCATCAAGAACAAGAACAAGAACCGATTTCGGTCAAGTCAGAACATTCACCCACACTTGAGCCAAGCAATACCAAGACACAAGATCATGTGCAAGCCAACGCACATCAGAACTCCATACATGGACGGGTCATTGCTTCTTGCTGTAGAGGACCGGCATCAGCGACGGCGCCTACGCGTTGGAAGGCTCAGCAATATTCGCCCACTTATGTCAGCTTAAGAGTCTCAAATATCCCAAACAAAAGTGCTGTTTAGGGGGGTGCAAAGATGGAGAATCGGGTAGTAGCGGACTCTTCGAACTCAGATGCTAGCGATGTCTCCAGGTTGGAATAATCAATAAGGAAATTGAGTCTTTTCAGGTTGCGTCTCTCCAATTTGGAACCGGCATCCCCTGTACAATCATATGATTCTCAACTTCTTGAAGAAACTCGAGGCTGGGCGGCAACTTGCTGACTCTAGATCATGTCAGTGACATTGCGGGGTGTATCATAGATGCATTTCATCAAAACCGGTGAATAGCATGGGTTCCATCACGTGCTCGAATCGTTCAGACTAGGAAACTTGACATATAGGAATATTGAAATCTATGCAGTCTAGGAGTCACATTAGCGGCCCATTCTTCTATTTACTTCCTCGGATCCCAGTTAGCATCAACATCATCAAGGAGGTTCATAGCCTTGATCACATCGGCCCCAAGAATCTTCTCTAGGCTAACTAGCTTGAAGCTAGCTTCGGCACTGGTACTACCGTCAGGCAGTTGGTTGGCATCATCGTGAGTAACGAATAATCCGTGAGGGAAGTCCTTTCCAAGGTGTGTCCCGACCGCGGTGATGCCATCGGTATTCGATACCGCATCGATTTGTCCATCCGACGACTTGGGAATTGTGAATGTTGTCACATAGTAGTGAGGATCGGCCCGGGTGTACACGTTATAAGAACTGACGCCCTGATTAGACACGAGGATGTATCCTTGATCGGGTCTGACGCCGTAGACGAGGGTGACACCCTCCACATCGGCGAAGGTCTGGCCATCGCCCACAAAGGCAATTTGAATGGCATCATCATCCGAGGAATCGGGCTCCGCACCGTAACGCCACAACGCAGAAGGCTCTTCGCCTAGGAAGATCCAACCGTTCTGCTCATCCGTTACACATCCCTCAACTTGGCCGCCTGATCCTCCTGTAAAGTCGCGAACGAGAGTGGTCTGGAGAGTACCATTCGAGTTGGAAGTCAGCTCGTATTGTAGATAGCGAGCAGACTTTTCGTTGACAAAGAGGTATTGCTTGCCGCTAGTGGGAGACTTGTACACGCAGGAACCATAGACTTTGTAGTCCTCCGGCACAGGCTGAATGCCGCCGGGGATGTCCTTCAGGGTCCCATTTGATGTCATCTCGAAAAGACTGCGGCTCGTGTCAGTGTAAGGTACTTCAGGCAACTTGGGACACCTAAGGTAACTCACCAAAGCGTATCATCACCACGGCAAGCAGCGAAAGCGAGGTCAACAGTCCTGTTTCCAGCCTGGAAGCCGTAGATCATGTCGACATTATTAGGCTCCGCCGCTGGCAGAGTTTGGAGCAGCTTGCCCTTCAAATCGAAAACACCCAAGCCGGCACCCTCAGTGGACTTGGTTGTGGTAATGATGCGGGACTTCTCGGCTGATTCCGGCGAGATCCAGATGGCGGGATCATCTCCATCGCCGCCATTCTGGTCAGTTTCGTAGGAAGCCTCAACTAAGACAGCGGAGCAGAAGAGCCCTCCCCATCCGTTCTCGCATTTGCACTGTTGCGGCCCAACACACTCGCCATGTCCAGAGCAATTCTTCATGCACTGAATCTGATCGCACTTGTCACCGGTGAAGCCAGCGAAGCAGCCGCATCCTAGGGCATTCTCCTGACAGTAGCCGTTGCTCGAGCAGGCGTCACAAATCGGAGAACGGTCGCGGGATCCAGTGGCGTTCCGAGGATCATACGCGGTGTTGGCATCTATCCCGAGATCATTGAGAGCACCATCCAATGATACCACTCCAAATCCAGCAATGTTGTCTGCTTCGACAGCGAAGCCAAGAGCGCCGCTAGGGTACTTTGAGGTTGACCCCTGATAGATACTGAGGCCCTGGACTTCAATATCCTCAAGGCCAGTAAGCTTGATGTTGCCGACAAGGTCGAATGGATACTTGTAAACGGCGATGCTACTTTCTTGAGCGACAAACAGGTACTCAGTGCCGGTGGAATTTGAGGCGTATGTTGCAATACCAGTCACATCTTCCGCTGCTTCGCCAAGCTTGGTGATTTCTGGAGCAATGGTCGATTCTTTGAGATCGAAGACGTAAACATCTTTGTCATCGTCGGCATTGACAACCATTTTAGCCTGTGATTGTACCACAGCACAGCCAGAAAACTCCGTTGGGACTGGGATGCTTTGAACCTGATTTAGTCAGTGAGAAATGAGTTGAGGCGCTGGAACCGGGTTTTCTCACCTCCACCAGTTCAATGGAGTCCTTGGTCGGGCGGACTAGATACTGCACCACCACACTCTTGCCAAAAAGAAAGACGTAGTCGTTCAAACTCTTGGTTCGCCACGAGCACATGGCTGCCCAATCTCCAAGCATCGTCACATGGGCTGATTCAATTTCCGTAAAATCTGGCAACTCGTAGACGCGAATGATGGAGTCCGGCATCGCAATAGTAATCGCGTAGTCTTGCCCCGTGACATTGTAGACTGTCGTGATGATCTTTGTTCGGCCGGTGATCATAGACTTGACCTCGGACAATGGCGAATCGCTGTTCAGATCCCACGCGTGGTATCCTCCCGAGGCGGCACCTCCATCATTTCCCAGAAGCAGTGGCTTCTCTTTGGAGTAGAATACATTTGTCCAATCGGCTTCGAGTTCGCCACCGGTCAGCGCTGTGATGTTGGCCTCGACGTCGACCTTGGAGGCGGCCGTGGCTAGCCAGGGATGCATCGCGACCGCGGCGATGGCCGCGGCGCATGCGAGGTACTTGAGGCCCATGGCGGTTAGGTCAAGTCGATAGAGGTCTACCTGACATGGCAAGACGTGCAAGCTGAAGGCTCGCCTTGTGAGGAGGAACAGTCCATTTATCATGTCGTCTCATTGCCTTCCCCTCCAAGCGGGTGGACAGCGGAGGAGCGGGTGGCCCCACGCCTACAGGGCCGGGATCGCAATGCAAGTTCAGCCCCTCCAGGTCCCTTTCAGGGATGAGAGACTAGGCTGCAACCTTTTACCGAATCTGCTTTCAGTTTGGCAATTTGAAGGACGATTTCTGCGTCAATACTGTGGGTGATGGAACACTGACGGTTCCTTCGGGTGAAACGCGTGCATGAAAGGGAGGAAACAATTGGTGGACGCGATGGGACGAAGAATCCTTGGAGCTTCCACTTTTGGAGTCGTCCGTCTTGGCACTGGACCACCATTGATCCAAGGTGAAGTCACAGGTCCGAACGAGGAACTGGTTGAGAGAAAGTCGACTTTTGATTCTGTCAGAAAAGTTAAATGCCATGCGGCCCACTACCCGCTATACTTTAATTGTGCGGTGACATCGGGGGAAACTTCCGAGGCCAACATTCGGTTTTCGTTTCCTGTCCTTCGGAACTTCACAATTGGCTCGTGTTCAAGACTGAGCCGATTTGACGCGCTCGGGTCTCGTCGCGGTGTCCAGACGCCAAGTTCCACGTTGTCATGATTTGTTTTGACTTCTCGATGTTTATGAAATGTGACTGGACGCAGCTTGGCTAATCCAAGCATCGTCCCATTTCTCGAATGGCGACTATGAACTTCGGAGAGCGCATGCAAGGAAGATGGATTTACCGCGGTTGTCTTCACTACGTCAGATTACTACTCGCGCTCCTGTTCTCTCTCCCAAACACGCAAGTCGATCAAAAAGTCGTAGACATCATATAATCGTTATCAACTTCAAACAGCAGTGATGAATTAATTCGTAAATACTGGGCAAAGTAACATGCCCAAGAGGTGCACATAACATAAATCGCAGAACAGGGAGATAGGGTTAAAGTGAATTTGTTTCACCTCCCGACGAGTTACTTGATGTACGGAGTGCAGTTCATTCAAGAAAAGTAAGTTAGGAGCGCTATCAAGGTAAAGCGGCCTGGGGTGAACCTCTGCGGCAAACCTCGACAGCGGCGGCACCGACGAGCTGGTATCAATCAAGTATATATCTCAAGGGCGTGAATCCTTGTGTAAGACCATCGGCCAACGGTCACTCCAGCTACGATTCGAGTAACATTCTTTACCTACATACCCGACTAAGGGCTGAAGCACATCTAATGGCCTCTTTGGAGACTTCCTCCTCCCCAGCGTTGTTTTTAGGGACCAGATCCTATTCTGATGTCTCGAAGGCCCCATGTCAAGCAGATTTACTCAAGCTTACTGATTGGTACCTGCTGAACTTACTGTCTCTGGTTGGATGGTCAAAACGGCATGAGCCACAAATTTGAGGCAAAGTTCTTTTGTCATGAATGGAGATAAGTTAAAGTATGAATGAAATGATATTTCTGCGCTCAATCTCCTTGGGATTGTATGTCCAATGCATCTAAAGGTATCTGAAGTTCTATCATACAATAAAGAAATTCGACCAAGTGATTCTGAAAGTCCCACATCTAGCCCATCGACTAGAGTGCCTTACGAAGGGGGAGCAGCGGTGCCGGAAGGAGGGCTGCCGCTCATGGTGCCGTTGCCACCGGGGCCGCCGGAGCCGCCGCCGCCGCCAACAGTGGCACCAGTGGAGTGGCCACCATCCTCGTCAAGGTAGCCGGCAATGTTGTAGTAGTCGTCATCAGTGTAGTCAGCGGAAGCGTTGACACCGATCTGGATCCAGGCGAAGAGACCGTCCTGGAGGTCATCGCTCAGGTAGACGAACTGAGGGAAGGGGTCATAGGAGGCATCAGCCTGGAGGATGGACCACATGTCGTCAGCATTGGAGGTGACGCCCTGCTCGTTGGTGTTGTAGGGGTAGAGCTCCTCGACGGCGGAGCGGATGGACTCGGGCCAGAAGACCTGGCCGATGTGGCTGACGGGAGCATTCCAGACGGAGATGGTGCCGTTGGGCATCAGGGTCGCGTTCGTGTGCGAGAGCAAGTGGGTGTGGGTGGCGCGGCCCTCGTAGTGGCCGGGGAAGATGGTCTCGAACTGAGCCACACCGTCGGCGTCGGTGAGCTGGATACCGCGGAGGAACGTGCTGTTCATGCCATCGGCGGCGTAGTTGCCGTTGGTGGAGATACCGGAGTAGATACCGGTGGCGTTGCAGTTCCAGATGTCGACGGCGACCTGGGGAATGGGGTCGCAGGTGGCGACGTCGACGTACTGGACCTCGAGGAAGACGGGGACACCATCGCACCACTTTTGCTCAATAACGTTAGAGCGCATGTTCTCGCCGACAATGTAGTAGGGGCCGTCGGTAATCTCGGGAGCCAAGACGCAGGAGGTGTTGGCACTGAAGACATCCTCAAGGGGAGTGAAGATGCCGTTGTTGCTGGAGGCGGTCATGTTGTGGTTAACTTCCTCCCAGGCGGTGAGCGCGTCCGCATCACGACGGTACTTGCGGGCAGCTACGGAAAAGGTCAATGGATGATCGAACATGTGTCTCAAACAAATAGGTACTTACGGGTCTTGAGGCCCTTGGCGGCGCGGATATCCTTGACCTTCTGGGCACGGCGCTCGACGGCGCGCTTCTTCATAGCCTGAGCACCAGCGGTGTTGGAGCAGGCGTTCAGGGAGCGCTGGCCGACGGCGGCAACGTTGTCACGGAGCTGTATGTTGCGCTTCATGTGGTCATGGCTGTGGTGCTCGCCGGGATGGGCAGAGACGCAGCCGGCGAGGGCAAGGCTGGCGGCCGAAAGGGCGGAGATGCGAACCATTGTTGATGTTGTAGTAATAAGACCAGATTTATAGCGAATGTTGAAAACGATTGGAAGTCTTTAGTTGTAGAAGCGACTGTTGTTGCTGCGGTGGTTGCGGCTGATGGTTCTTTCGATATCACAGATGTCCGGCTCCGAGACCAGTCTTTATACAAGTCGATCTTTGTTCTACATCTCCGCCATCTATCACACAACGCGTTCATCTCTACGTGATGTGGACAGTCGATGGGGGCTTCGCTCTCATCCGATCCCCTTACATGGGGGAGCCCTCGTCACCTCCCGTCCCGCCCTGCTATTTTCGACTCTTCCATCGAGAGTCCGCGGTCCATCGTCTGAACACCCGTCCAACCAGGACCGCGCAAAAGGTCATACACTACCCGTTGCCGTCGTGGCACGCAGGGGTTCCGTACTTCTGAGCCTCACATACACGACTTCGTTCCCCGCCAGGGGCGTATTTTCAACATTTCGAGTCAATGCGTCTCCACGCCGGTGCCTGTCCTTAAGCGTCCTTGACGTCCTTAACTCAGCCTCAGAGCACACGCCAAGCGGTTAAGAAATGCTTGGAGAAGCTTGAGATGGAAAGAAGGTGGTTCTAAAGCGGAACCCGGGGTCGATCCGGAGTGGGGACTAGACCCGGGAGCGACTTTCGGGCCTCCCACATCCCGTTTCGTCGTTGGGGATCCCGAAGTTGGCGGAAAGGCTTCCTGAGTTTCGTTCCTTGACCTTTTGGGCCTTCTCAGGTAAAAGTTCCCAGGGGCACCGGATGACGAGGCCACTCTCCACTTGGCGGGTGGCGCCGCTGCGCGTTTGCGCAAGCTTCAATGAGATTGGATTAAATTCCGCTGACTTGAACAAAACATCCTCGACGGCGCTCGGGAGACAGTGGGCTCCAGCGGAGAGACCATGTCAAGCTTGTTTATTTCCCTGGGCCACGTCGGTCTGTGGGAGGGCTTTGGAAAGGGGCGGAGAACGCTCTCGCGGGGCCCGAATTTTCTTTCCTTTTTGTCTCCTATGCATTAGTCAATGCGGAACACTTGCGCAATAGATGGTAGCTGTGAGGAAGAGAGCGGAAAGAAAGTCTCATCTGTGAACATTGACATTCAGCTCAATCAACTTTTGACTTTGAACTATCTTCGTCATTGAGCAGACGAGCTGAGCGTGCATGTGTGGTGTGGAGCAGAAAATCTCCCACACTGAAAGAGAGTGTCGGAACTTTTAGGCCTTGCGTAACTTTATTCAGGGGGGTTCATCTTGTCTCAACGTCCCGCGGTTCAGCCTATGCAAACCAAACAAACATGAATCGTCCAGCAACGGTGCCATGCTGTAGTCTACTTCCTCCCTGTACCCGGATTCACCGACACGACGACACATTGCCTAGGATCCCTAATTCAAAGACGAGACGAAATGGACCTATCTGGGCGCAGTCAATCAATCTGAAATGCCGTCATTGGCTGTCGGGCCAGTTGTGACCCTCAACCGCAATCGAGGCCTGGAGGAGGGAGGGGTGTTCAGAGTCGTCACTCGACGCGTGTCAGTCATGACTTGTCTAATTCCGGGTAAGGGCGCCCTTTATCATTTCGTAATGCGACACCACAACGGTTCTCAACAGCACATTGTTCACTCTTCTAGACTCGGTCTCCAGCTAAAGACATGCACCGTTGAGACTAAACCTTTTCAGTCACGTCTGGAAACATTCTCCGGAAAACGTAGAGAGGACTGCCACTTGACCGAGGCTCTGTCCACAGTCCAGACTCCAGACTCCAGTCAGCAAGATCATAGATGGAGCGAAACTTGCGCACAGCCAATTTACGTTCTCATTTGGATCGACACATCGAATGACCAGTATGGTTACTTTTGACAATTTCACCCTCAAAGTGACAAAGCCCGAGTTGGTTAATTTTATCAGCCACTGCTCTCCATCCAACACCTCCAATGCCCAAGGGACATTCTCGAAGACAACATCGTTGATTCATTCATATATTCCCCAAGTCTCCATGACAAGGACACACTTGTTTGGTTACTTCATGATTCGACTAGGAAGATTCAGTTTCCTTTTGCGGGCACATTTGGCTAACCAAAAAGTTTTCGTCATCCACAACAGAGAAAGTCTTGCCATCC